GATATCAACTTAAAACATGCACCTCGCTCCACATTCCAAGGGCTGCAACCTGCAGCGCAGCTCTCTGGGCATCAACTGTTGTATTAACAAAAAAAAAAAAAAAGCTGTGGCAGCTCATTAGCTACACTTAACCTTATAATCAGAAGAATTTTCTTCCTACATACATCGTTGTCATTTAATGTTGGATCTGATACAGTCAGAAGAATTTTTCATCAAAATACTTAAGCAATGATCACAGTGTCTCAGAAAAGGTTTTACTTGCAAGCAGTTGTGTTCTCTACATCGCAGTGTACAGAGAAGTGGACAGAGTAGGACTAAACAATGTCTTCCCCTCATTTATAGTGGGGTTGAGTTTTACGAGTACTTAAATGTATAGAACTTTCCACTGCCCATGCAGACATGTTGAGACCGGTGGTCTTATTTTCATTTTAACAGCTCTCCTGCTTTCATTTCCTTCAAACAGCCTTTTTTTCTCTTTCACAAATCCCCTTTCAAGATTGATACTATTGATATTTGGATCAATCCGCCCTGCCTTCTTGGTGTAAGGCTGAAGTCATTTAATGTTCATCTGCATTTATCTGGGAGTTGTCAGAAAACACAAGGCAATCTCTGATGACTTCTCAGAGCAGCAGTGTTCTGTGCAATAAAGCATCTCAGATCAGCTGGTGCCATCTTGAGGTCACAGTTGGTTATTGTGCTTGAAATCTGTTTGATTGTTCCTGTTTTCCTGTCATGCTGAAAGGGAGAAGTATTTCTTGGGTTCTTCACACATGCTCATTTTGTTCTGATGGTCCTGTGATCATCCATGGAGGCAAACTTCAGATAAATGTGTTTAGCCTGGTTAGTTTTTCTCAGTGCAGTGGCTTGACTTTTCAGAAAAAGGATCTTGTCATCATAAATTGTTTGCTGATTGTCAATGTTTGTTTTTATTAGTTTAAAAAAAAATCATTCCAAAGATAAAACAAAGAAAAGACAGAGTTAATCATGTGATTATGGCAATCCAGTGTTCAGAAATATTAATTACAGAGAAACAATAAT